GCGACAGCCATGTCATTTAAAACAAAACACATCCATAAATAGACAACCCACTCTCCTCTCTTCATCCAAGACATCATGGCCCTTCTTAAATATACATGTCACAAACCAAAAAAAAATGGCTGTGAACTCAGTCGGCTAAACATGTCAATGACGTTACTTTCTAATCAGGCCATGCATTAACTGCTTGCACTGTTTTTACACAAATGCATGGATGCATAAACTCTCTGGGCGATTACAAAAATCATTGATGCAAAAGGAGCACAGAGCCACAGCTTTTTGGCCAGCTCAAGAGTAAAACTGATGATGCTTGAGGAAAGTGACACTCTACCGAGGAAAACAGAGAGAACAGTGCCTACAGAACAGCCCGAAATGCACATTCCTCCACGGGAGTGCTGTGTAACTGAAGCTCCAGGTGCTGGTGCCACACTTCACTGACTGACTGTCTGACTGACTGACTAACTGAAGACTCTGCTAATTAAAAAAACATACGACTGACAGAAGAAGCAGAAGCAGTGAAAAAGACGACTTGACAGTTCACCACAGTTGTGGAGCTTAGGGTCTGTTTTTATTTGCAAATTAAATCTACATTTATACAAGACTCATTCTTCAGAAACTTCTGAGGTAATGGAGATGTTAGCTCTCTGACAATATCAGAATATATTGTAACATGTGATGTCATATATCATACATCATATTAAGCAATAGCATATACTGTACATCTTGTGGCAGATAAAATGGTTGAAAACATCAAGATGAAAATCCAAAAATATATATAGGTCAGAATATCACTGATACTTGGGTGTGGTTTCAACCAAGAAACCAACCAGAACAATCAGTCGACCACCAACCATCAACATGCTAAAACTTCAAATAATCAGAACACTTTACCGACTGCATAGTAACGTTCTGGCAACCACAAAGTTGTAAATAAATACAAAGCACACACAAATATACTTTGTACTGAATTAAATGTATTTACTGTATAGACGGGTTAATTACTTAAATGTAATTGGCTAACTGCATTTAAAGAGTGATGATACAGTTCAACAGCACAAGGATGTTTCATTGCTTTCATATAATCTGTGGTAAGGATTTTTTTTTTGAGGAAATTTGGCTACAAGTGACTACCTTTAAGAATGAGCGATTTAATTCAACTGATTTGTTTAAAACATTGAATCATTCAGAAATGAAATGTCACTTATCTTTAATAGAGTGAGTCAATGAATCATCTAACCTATTCGTTCAAAAAAATAAATCCATTGTGTGTTATATATATATATATATATATATATACATATAATTACACAATTATTGTGGTCTAAATAGGTACACATTGCCATCAAATCTCAATTTCAAAAGCTCTAAATTAGAGGACAGATATTGGATAGAGGATTGAGATGAAATTGAGATGAGTGGAGGTGTTGGGCAAAGAAAGTGTCCCAGCATGCCTACACATGTTACATGGACAAGTTCTCACAGGAGGGTTGGCAGTAATGATCATGACACATTGCTGATCTGGAAATATCAGCCAGACAGCAAAGGATGCTTCACTCTTCACCGCTGCCTGCAGTCATTTTAAGATCAAATAATTATCATCCTTAAAATCGAATTATTGCTTTACTGGCATATTAAATAATTTCCAGAATACATAGCCTACATCATGTGCTAAACAATATAACAGTTCCAGTAGTTCCAGTTCGTCCCACCAAATGCCAGGAGCAGATCCATTATGTCAAGAGAGTATTTGTTACGTAACCTAAACCACAGAAAAGTGCCCTCTGACCCTGCTATGGGAATGTTATATACCCCGTGCGTGAGTGTGTGTGTAGCTGGCTCACAACATGCTCCCCAACTAACGGAGAAAGGTCCCAGCTGTAATTTCCCTTACTTTTCTGTGTTTCTAAATGTTAAAAGGTCTCTTCCCTCGCAGACTGATTATCCACCAAAACATTTGTGCTCCAAACAGTCGCTGATACAAGGATGCAAGGATGGGTGTAATATTGCAGTGCATGGTGAAGGGTCCCTGTCGACTTAACTGCATATTTCTGTGAGTTGGTGAGGAAACGAGCATGTGTGTGTGCGTGTGTGTGTGTCCTAGCACAGTTAACCAACTGGAGGAACAGATGGACTCCCCACTCTCCTTGTTGTGAAGAAACACCGCATTTACACACACACACACACACACACCTCTCAGAGCAGCATTCAACTCTAAACAGGATATGCTGACATGTTTATGTGGGCCTATTCATACATTTAATTAGAATACTCAAACAACATTTGTTTCAGAGAGCTCATTATCTGACGCACTGTAAGAATTTGTTTGTTTTTTTTATGGGGGAAAATAAAGTTTTGTCTCAAAGAGATTATATCTATATATCTATCTATATAAATATATGACATTAGATATCAGAAAAAACACATTCTTCAATAAAACCTCATCAATGTTAGTAAGCTGTAGATAATGCTACCTTATTGGTATATTTAAATCAGCAAAAATGGCAACATCACAGAAAACGAACTACTCAGGGTTTTATCACAGTATTGAAAGTTAACTTGCTTGCTAAACCAGCTAACATTATGCCAATGCAGTTCAGAGTTAAGCTGCATCACTCAGTTTAAGCAGCTCAGTTTGAGTAGGTCACATAAAACGCACAGCAATCAAACCCACGACCACTCCAGCATCTGTATGCAGAGGTCTGCGAAAGACACGCTGTGTAATGCAGTCGGGCCACTGACTAAACAAGTGAGAGAGTATTTGAGTGGGAGCGGGAGAATTAGGAGCATGACTTTAGCACATGCCAACCCGTGAGCTCAAGCTCATCCTTCTGAGGCCTGCTGGTGGGTGAGAGCAAATGGATTCGGAAGGCTTGTTCTCCAGTGGGTGCTAATGTATGGACTAGGGCGCTATTAAAAGCCACTACTGTGTGATATGCCTGTGCATTTAATTATTTATCTATTCATATATTCCTCCTCTTTTTAAAGTCTTTTTGTCAGTTCTTGTGTCTAAGCCAGAAGCAAAGGCTAGAGGAGGAGTGGGGCTCAAGAGAATAAGATTACAATAAGTCAACTCACTGTTTGATCTTTAGTAGAATAGACCTGACTCAAATACACCCCGTCTTCTAAATCCCTTGCTCAACTACAACATTTCTAGGCCAGAAGCCTCAGGTAGGTGTAACTGATCGAATACATCTGCCTATTGGTAGGGTAAAATGATGATGATAGATAGCACAACTGCATTTTGGCTCGGGACAAGTGATTACATATTTTTGTATGTTAAAACGTGGGGTGAACGATTTTGCATTTTACCAGTTCTATTGTCTTGAAGTCAATGTTTTGTTATTATTTAATGCCTGAAATAAGGTCTGTGGTTAACACAAGCTCAAGATATGTTCATCTTTTATTTTCCAACATAAAATAGATCAGTAATACCCCTCCCTTGCAAATTTTAAGTTTTTACTTTTCTTATAATTGGCTAAACAGAGGTTGTTGGGGACATTAAACGTTGTAAAGCCGAATAGGAAAACTCATAATCAGTTTTGTACAGCCTCAGTGTGTTTATAATCAAACTAAACTATTCTAACTCAAACTTTCATCGAAAACTTTTAAATAAAGACCGAAAGAGTTGCTGGAAGCTTAAAGGGATACTCCACTTTTTTTGGAAATAGGCTCATTTTACAACTCCTCCACAGTTAAACACCGTGTTTGAATCCATTCAACCGATTTTCTGATATTTAGAAGATTATCAGTAACCAGACAGTTTCTGGTCTCATTGACTTCCATAGAATTTTTTTTCCTACTATGGAAGTCAATGAGACCAGAAACTGTCTGGTTACGGATATTCTTCTAAATATCAGAAAATCGTCTGAATACATTTGAAAACGGTGAAACTCAACTGTTTAAATCTGGGGGAGTTGTAAAATGAGCCCATTTCCCAAAAAAGTGGAGTATCCCTTTAATGGTGGTGACGATGAAGTCACGGCCAATGGTGTAGTTCGTTTATAGCCTACGTTCAGATATTGATTTCTGACCACTGTATTTAGGCTTCCAAAGCTGTGTTCATTAGTGAAGATTATCACTAGATTCATACAACTCTTTTTTGGTCGCAGCTTATTTTCTATAATAATCCAAAAGTCGATTAAGAACACTGTTGGGCTTTTTTGTCAAGGGAACTAGGGTGATGCTAACTTCTGGGTCGGCCTACAAAAATACATAACAACTGCAGAGCTTCTAATTGAAGCATGTTATTGGTCAAGCTGATGACACCACAAGTGACCACATCCAGGAAGTCCACACAGAAACAGATGTGCTTTGGCCAACTTGACCCCTTTCTGATCCTCTGACCCCTCCAGAGACCACAGAGAGCGATTATGAGAGAAATACTCTTTCTGTTGATATGAACCACACTGCAGTTCTCTTATTCTTCGGCTGAGAGAACCAGGGCAATACTGGTGTGCATAAATAATTTAACATAGCATAAATATTACTCTGTCAGCACTCTAAAGCACCACCACAGGTGCCAGGATTTGTTTTCTTGTTTTTACAGGGAAAAATAATGCGACTGTGAGAAAGGCTTTGATTTACAACACAGTGCCACTCTCAGCAACTTCCGCGTGACCCCAACAAACAAGTTAATAGAAAAGATTGAAAACATATAACGCAGTCATTTAAAGCATTAAACAATACCGTAGTCTCATTTTTAGACACTGCTAACTTCAAACTTTACAAACACTACAGCTGCAAGAAAGTACCTGCATCGAACACCTCCTTAAGGTCAAGCTTGACCTTTCATTCACTATCATCATGTATAAGTCCTACATTTTGTAGCAGAGTTGTCAAGGCCTCATTGTTTGACATTTATAGAAACCGCAGTTATTCACAATCAGTCAGAACATTAAATGACTTGCATAACATGGAAATGGCCTGGCCACTACGATGTTTATCAATACTAACATTGTACCGTTTATTAACTTTCTGCAGGTAAACTTTGTTGAGATGTTTACCTGATGTCGTTCTGCTGAGGTGGTTTCTTGTTCCCGACCAGGTTCACTGTTTTTGCTTGTATGGGCTTTTCCTCTCTGTAAAAAACACATTTTAGACAGTGACAGTAAATGTCTCAAAAATCTTAGCTTTTTGTGTAAAATTATTCTAATGTGTAAAAAAACTTTTTCCCCGTCCAAATAATTACATAACTCTCAAAACACATGAACACCCAAACAGAACACAAAAAATAAAAACTCCAAACTTATCTTCTTTTACATTGCACAGAAGAAAGTTTTGTAATTCAGGTTTGTAATGCCATGGGTAAATGATAGCATAATTCTCATTTTTGGGTGTCCCTTTAAGCTAGCACACAATTGTTGTACTTCTGAATGTCTCAAAAGCGTTGTGAGGTCGACCTCTAGCTTCTGCTTCAGGACAGAAGTTTCTTTGAGAATGAGGAACTGTTCACCATTTAAACTGTCTCATAACACACACAGCAAATGAGAGGTTGTTTATCAGTACACTATAAGAGACAGACTATGTTGGTCTTTTTCTCATCTCTATAAAAAATACTGTGTGACTGAAACTGTACATCATTTGACCCGTACTACCCATTTGAAAACGATGCATTTATCATGGCGACTCACTGACAAAGATACACAAGGGCTGAGAAATTGAATAATTGCATAATCATTTCCTATGAGAAATATAGGACAAGTTATTGATTGTAGCTGCTCAGTAAACCAATTTGAGACGCATAAATCTGATTTCAAATCTCAAGGTGGCCAACAACTAATGTAATATGAACAACGATGGCCTTTAAATGGCAGGTGGACAGGAAGCCAAGAAACATCTTCACACTCACCATAACAACAGTGAACCACTATTCAGATTAAATCTTTATAATCCATCCTACATGAAAATTCCTGACAAGTGCCTGTCATATATCAGATCTCTTTAGATGGTATTTTTATGTTATGGTCCCCCTATTGTTACTAGTTATTCTCAAACACACTTTGAGCTGAATTCTTTGTATGAAAGCTGTTATAAATAGTTATTACTAAAGAGAATATTATTTTTTTAAGATGATCTAATAAGAAAAGAAAAGATTAAACACAAACACAAAGGTGACTACTGCCTCTACCCAAGCTGTAAGTGGTGCTCAAATTACAATCTGTGAAGATTTCAATGAATGGGTTAAGAATCCTGACGGTCATGATGACGAGGCACGGAAATATTGTCGTGACCAGGCAGGAATCCTGACACTGGTGGTGAATAGTGCAGAAAATACGTTCACTAACCTATTAAAAATATTTTTTAAAAAGTATGATGAGTCTAATACACAATAATGTGGCATGACACGTGTGCTGCCTGAAATTATCCATCACATAGTGAGGTGTAAAACAACAGGGTGTATCAATTTGTAGACATTTAGTTCTTGCATGTTGACACACCCCTCTCTATTTAACAGCTACACCTGCGACCATTCACCTGGCTGTTCATTGCAATTCATCAGACATCTAACAAGCTTGTTTCATAGCGATGTGTATAATACACACATAGCAGTGCTCATCCATGACAAGTGTCCATAAGGTTGGAAAAAGTGGATATGGCCAGACTCACCCACCCACTCTTAAAATACACACACACACACTGGAGCTCAGGTGCAGGCGTACAGCCTGATGGCTTTATTAGTAGGCTATAGCAAACAGATGCACCTAGAAAAACCATCACAAGCTGTTTGCCTGTTTTGGTCTCCAGAAGAAGCACGAATACTACAGGCTCCCCCTATAAAGCGTGATGTCTTACTTGAGCATGGCCTCATCTTTCTCCTCTTCCTCCTTCTGCCGAAGCATCACAGCCATGATAATTTTCCTCTCCTCCTCGGTGAGGTGACTGAGGTCCGGTATATCGGGCATGGAGCTCTGCGTTGTGGGTGGGCGAGGGCCACCGCGGGGCCCCACCGAGGCGGACATATTTTACCCCTGTATGATCGGTGCACAATCCCAGCTATGTAAACCGCTATTCAGGCCATAGTCCGATGGCTTATCTGCGGTTGTCGCGAGCGTGGCGAACCGTTCATCGTTGCGGCAGGCACCCACGGTTGTGCTTCTCTTCCTATACGGCTTTTTCTTCTGTTTCTCTCCCCCCCACCCCCCGCCCGCCCGCCAGCCTCTCCCCTCCAGGTCCAGTTAAGGGTAGTCCATATCTGATCCGCGGGATAAGTGCGAGTCGACGAGGGGGGTCTTGCGCTTGTTGATGAAGCCGCCTCGGAGCTCGGGCTCTGGGGTGGGATGATGGGAGCAAAGGCGGAGTCCGCTCGGCGCTCGCTCTGTTTACCGAGCTCGCGCTGCTGCTGATGCTGCCGCTGTCAGGGAGACGGAATAGTCAATGGGACCGCAGCCCCTCAAGCGCGCGCACGCCTCCTCGAGACGGCCGCGCGCATCTCATTTGAGAATGGGGGCTCACTGCACGCGCACACAGCATCCTATTTTCGCTCTCCAATCATAGCGCGCTGATGACGCGCATCATTCACCAACAGCAGACGCTTTGAGATTCACCATGAGATTAACAGCGCGTTGCTTGCAAGTAGGCTTCAAGTCGTATAAATTCAGGACGCAACAGACGAGTGTCTAAAATTTAGCTAATAATGCACACTAATTATTTTTATCGTTAATTTATATTCTTTTAAACCTTTTTAGTTCACACTACCCCAAAATGGGATGGCAATGGATTTAGTTTTGGCATTACAGGGAGTGTTTCATACACATTTAATTTGGTGCAGGGCCTATGAATCATTCTGAAACATGTATGAAACATCACTTCCATTCTGGTAATTTGTGACTGTTAATTAGTTTATATGGAATATAACAATTAATTTGTTACACAACAATTTTCATACAATTGTCCTATAGGACATTTTAGTCATATTAAAGAAAACACATTCTATTTGTAGGCCATCATACCACCATACCACCATAAACCACAGTTCATAACCTGAGCAAGTGTATTGAGTTAAATGTTGTTGTAGGTCTATTAAAATAAAAGGACTTTAAAATACGATTGTTGCAATCAGCTATCACAACTTAAAAAAATTTAATAACTTCTCTGGGTTGAACTTGAATATATGTTCAGTTAATAGGCTAGAATTTTAAACTTCAAGTTGACTAAACTTGCATGAACACTTCTTTTTTATTATTATAAATACAGCATATTTTTACAGTGCGGTGTCCCACTTTGACACTAGAGATGTGAACATATTTTAAACAAATTATTAATAAATAATAATTATTTGGTTAATCAGATGCTGCCCATTAATATCTGGGTAATATCTAATTAATATCTAATATATAGCCTAGGACATTAGTTTAACATTTAAAAAAAACAATGCCTTCATATTGTCTGTGTTAAAGCTAAAGATTGACTGTGTTCACATATGGAATGACTTCTTCAGTTTCTTAAAGGCCACAACCCTGCAGTTTAGCATAATTAATGCACCTGATAATCAAGTCCTTTAGGCTTATTGAAAACTACAGGAATGTGTGTTGAAGCAGCAATAAACTCTGCAGGCATGATGTGGCCCCTCAGGAACCGAATTTTTCACCTCTGAGGTGATGAAAGACTACTTTCTTGAGACGACTTTTATTTTGGTGTTTTCTCTGTAGCAGCCATGGCGCATATTTCCTCGTGACATAATCTCCAGCTTCCATTGCTTTCAATGCACTTCTGCGATCTCTGATTTTTATGCTTCTGTCAAAAATCTGTCGAGGAACCCTTGGTAAATATCATTTTTAATGTTATGCATATGGGCACGTGTACGTGGGTGGCACAGAATGACAAAAACGCTTCATTTGGATTTGTTGACAAATTACTCTTGCACTTTATGTGACGAAATTATTAACGCATATTGACAAGGCATTGTAAATTAACTAAAAATATCCGTATTGCACATATGCTGAAATGCAGTAGTCTACCTGTGGACAGATTCATTGTGATAGGATTTAAAAACCATTGACTTACTGTATGTAAATGTGTATGACGTCTAATAGTCATACAGTTTAGCCATGTGCAACGTAAAAAATAGCTACAGTAAATACTATGCGTGACGTGTTGTGAAGCTGGTTTTGCGTTAGGTCAAACGTTCATACTACTGAAGAAATGATATTCAAACCAAAAGAACGATTTCGAGTGTTATTGCTTTTATACAACAGGTAAACACACAAGTTATAATATAGTAGCCAAAGTTAGCATAGGCTTTATTTTTCTTCCGCCTAAAGTATTTTCTATTTAATGAATAAAATACATATACAAATAGCAATCCAAACAAATATAAAAAACTTAAGTTTTACAAAAAAATGAATTGAATAAAAATACATTTAAAATAATTGAATACGTTTTTTTATTTACTTTAACTCTTTAGCTACAAATTGTATACTGTAATCAGGCTTTGTTATCAATTGAATAAAAATACATTTAAAATAATTGAATACGTTTTTTATTTACGTTTTTTATTTACTTTAACTCTTCAGCTACAATAATTGTATACTGTAATCAGTTTTTTGTTATCAATGCATAGTCAAACATAAAGAACTCAAAACATGGTTTAGACTTAGAGTTACTTCTTTTACTTTTATGTAAATTAAATGTACCATATAAAATAATAATATCCACTAAAAAATATTTTTGATTCAAAGTATAAAAGAACATCTTTACAAGTTATAATAACCAAATATATGCTATAAAGAATTTTTAAATGTAATTCTTTTTGAATCATGTGCCGAAAGTAGTTCTAAACAAAGTCAGCAGAATTGAACGACGTATATCTGAGTGAATCCAGTAAACCCGTAATCAGAAAAGAGATGTCGTTGCAACAATGGGAAGTTACTTTGATTAAAGATTACTAATGCACATGAATTTAAAAAAAAAAAATAATAATGATGTGCACAGATAAATCATTTTTAATAAATACTACAATATTCCATAATGTATTTTATGGTGACGTTAAGGATTGGGCTATGTCAAGAATATTTGCTATTTATGTATTTTCAGACAGATATGCTGCCTGTAGTGGTGGTGCATGGAGGTGCTGGTCATATTCCAAAAGAAAGAGCTGCACTCTCTACTATCGGTGTGAAAGAGGCAGCCAGGATTGGGTATGCCATCCTCCAGAAGGGTGGAAGTGCCATGGATGCTGTGGTTGAAGCAGTGACCTCCATGGAGAACAACCCAAGATTCAATGCAGGTGCTCATAATATTCCTGTTTAATTCATTTTATATATTTAATGCCTAATACCTAATGCTACATCCAGAATAAGTACAAAACTTGGGTAATTACCGTATGTCATAGGTCGGGGATCAGTGTTAAATGTGAAGGGGGAAGTAGAGATGGATGCAATTGTGATGGATGGCAAGTCACTAGCTAGCGGGGCTGTGTCAGCAGTCCGAAGAGTGGCTAACCCTGTGCAACTGGCCAGGCTTGTCATGGAGAAGGTATTCTTGTAAAATTCATCATATACCTGTATTCCCAAAACACTGTACGTGACCACCATGGGAGATTTAGTTTTGAGTAATCTACAGTTACCAAGATTAAAAAATTAAAAGTGATACACATCACACAATAATTAAGGAATACTAGGCTATATGCTATCAACTGCTTTTTTTTCACATTGAATACAACCATTAGAAGATTTTAGAACACTTTACATTTCAAATAGGGAAATTAATAATGTAAATAATTTCTGTCCTCACTCTGGAGACCAACCACTTGTGTCTGACAGCTGAAGGGGCCTCTAAGTTTGCCAGAAGCATGGGTGTACCGGAAGTGCCCGAGGAGTCATTGATCACAGACTATGCCAAGATGCGCTGGAAGAAGAACCTGGAGCCAGATGCCAACCCTGTGGAATGCCAAATGTAAAGCTTTTATGTAATGAAAACTGGTACAGAGTGCTGACATAATGTTTTTGGCATAAGATGTCTAATGTCTAGAACTTCTACTAAGAAAAAAAGTCGCAACAATGGTTAAAGGGATTGTTCACCCTGAAATGATGCTGCTTCAAACCTGTGACTTGCTTGCTTGTTGTAATATCCATATTACTATCCGCATTATGCCAACACAAACACACATACAGTAATATGTGTCCATTGAAAAAGAAAAGTCAGTGGTTTGCATGGTATTTTGTGCATTCATTTAAAATGCACATTATATGCAAAGTTTTGTAATGAAACTCTAGAAGGTGTTTCTCAAGGGGGCTTAGTCCTCAGTGGGAATGTCTAGCAAGAGACCATTGCCTAAATGGTGCCATTTTAAAAATTAAATATAGTAAGTCAAAAGTAGCCTACAACTTAAATTGGTACCAAGCAGCTAATACGAACATTTTATAATTTATATAATGAAACCAGTCTTGCTGCAGTACAGTTCAAATCAGTACACGACCGTGTAGGCAATAGTCAGATTTGCTCTGTAGCATCAACAATAATAAACAGCAGAAGAGTAGCAGATCACTCCTAAAGTTGTCATCATGACAGAAATGAATAAGAAATTAGGTAATTGTTTATCGACTTTATCTAATTTCTTTCTTTATTTCTAGTCAGCTATTCCTTTGCTACCACTTAGTTGGCCATTTTGTTGGTGTGCGTTTTTAAAGCCATTTTTGTGCATGTGTTTCAGGGGCAAGATGGGAACAGTAGGTGCAGTAGCTGTGGACATAGACGGAAACATTGCTTGTGCTACATCCACTGGTGGAATGATTAATAAAATGGAGGGCCGTGTGGGAGACACGCCGTGTGTTGGTAAATTCAAACTTGCTGCTTTGTAGAGTATGTAAGAGGCGTTGATTTGATTTGCACCACAGAGTTCTAGTGGTTACAAAGTTGGGAGGAATCAGCCTACAATTGCGTACTTTTTGCTGTTTCTGTATATTTAGCAGAAATAGAAGAAAATATTTTAAATTGTTGAAAAATTAAACCTTTAATTTGATTAATCCTAAGCAGCTGGTGTGACAGGGATTGAACTTTGACCTTTGGACATGCAGTAATGTGGGTAAATTTCAGCTGCTCATGAGAGCTTGTTGCCTGCAGGGTTAATATTCAAACCACATACATTCTCTCAGGACACACTTTAACCTGTGGGGATCACACTCACACACCAGTTAATGATAGATAAAAGAGCTGCTATTGTCTGCTTAATAAGTAAATAAACAAAAATGAAAAAAGACAGTGAAAAAATGAAAAGGGTTATGCAGTGGTTATTATCAGGGTTTGCTTTAAATAGGTGGATGGTTATCTGGAGAAACTTGTTTGCTGAGTGTGTGTGTGTGTGTGTGTGTGTGTGTGTGTGTGTGTGTGTGTGCGTTGGTGCGACCGGATTATGAGGACAAAACACATGGATACATACCGACTCTATGAGGACATACCGTAACTATGAGGACAGCACTAATGTCCTCATAAGTCGAGCAATGTAGAAAGGCTTATAAGGTAGCGATAAACCACCTCCCGCTTTTTCTCAATATGTCCTTATAAATCCGTTGTACCCGTTTTTCAGTGTGTATCAGTGTATGCTCAGAGTGTATAATCTCCCTCTATGTGAAATTCGATGGTACTGCAGTATCATACACATTTCATACACCCAGACCACGCCCAAGCGCGATTCATTGGTGGAACGCTGGAATCCTCGTCAGTGATTGGCTGCTTTTCACGTCCGTCAAAGTCAGCGCGCCGCGCATGCGCATTTGATCTCTATCGCCTGTGTGTTGTGACGGTGTGATTAATCAGAAGAGAAGATTATTAATTAGCAGAATTCGAGCGAAGTTGACGAGCTATTGCGGGAGATTATCACGAGGAAGGTAAGTGTGTTTATTTATATTCTACCTTTATGGAGTTAAGTGTTATGAGTCAGTTTTAAATAACGTTAGTTACATTATTTTAAACATGGCCGCTAATATCAGTCCATAGGCATTTAAAAAGGGCGTCCCCAAACATCTTGCACATGCTATTCACTTTTTTTTGTTTTGTTTATTACAAACGAAATTCTCTTGTTGTTCATAGACTTATTTTGAAATAAATCAAATCTATGTTGTCATCACGATGACTGGTAAAGTTGAGTGGATGAATTTACAGTTTAATACAGTAAGATACAGAAATATATTAATAAGCAGAAACGAAAAATAATGTAAAACTAGGCTATACTTTCGTTAATGTAACGTTACTGTCAATAGAATTATGTGACAAAACTATTTAACTTTAGTTGATTTATTTTAGGGCTGGATATTAGCAGATATTTTATGATTCCATTCAATTTTAATTCACATTCTTTCGATTCTATTTTTATTGATTATTTTAATGTTTAAATAGGTGTAATACCTGTAACATTTTCTAAAACTTTCTCTCTGTAGTTAATTTTTCTAACGTAACGAGTTTGGCTTTATTTGATCTGAGGCACCACATTAAGGAGTGATAAAATGTTATTAAAATGGACTGAATTTGAAATCAGTGACTGTTTATTATCAAAAGTAACAAGTCTTAAAAACCTATTTATGTGTGAAGTGACTTGACTTGACTTGAAATGTTGTATATATTGATATAGACTACAGTCTGACGATAATGAACTGTATATTATGAAGCTTATAGGCTACATACTAATTATGTTTTCTGGAATGTTTTCAGTCAACATGTTAAGAAAGAAGCGAATAAAACCTGAGCAGGATGCAAAAGAACACATATTGTCGGATAAAGACAAAGCCTTCATTGAGGGACGACAAATCAACACATTCAAAGGTAAATTGATTGTGCACCACAAGGCAATTTGACCATGTTCAGACTGCAGGCAAATTAAATCATAAAGTAGACAAGACATGCATTTGAAAGAATGAAAAGTACCCCTATTGCTGGCAGTCTGGACATGATCTTTCACATTCACACATTTAAGCTGCTCATTTTCGTAAAGGTTAAGAGATTAATCAATTTTTATAATTATTATTATTATTGTTACTTTTAAATAAATACTTAAAACTATGTATACAGTAGGGATGTCAATTTTCACAATTTTACAATTAATATCACAGTGAAAACCAATGCTTAACTTTTTTTTTTTAATTTATTTCCTGCACCTCATATTACAGTACACATTTTTACAGGTTTTAACTCTTTAAAATGATAGGTTGTTTAACTGTGTAACATATAGGTGCTCTTGGGTTCATGTTTTATTTTTATTATTCATTTAATTTTATTGTTTATATTATTTTGCCCTTTTAGGGAGAGGTGTGTTTGCACTTGAGCACATTGAACCATCCACCTTTGTTGTTGAATACCGTGGGATTCTCTCTCAAAGTAAACATGTTAAAGATGTTTAAGGCAACTACTTGTTCAACTTCACATGGAATGAAACACGTTATTGGTAAGCTGGCTGTTTCTTTTTAGTTATGATTATGATGATTATTATTATTACAATATAGGGCTGCATGATTTGGGGAAAATGTTATATTGGAATTTTTGAGGTCAATATTGCAAATGCGATATAATAAACAAATAGTTTCATGAGTCGACTTGCTTGGTTCTAAAGCAAAATGCACACACAGATTAGTGATAATTCTGAAATGTGTATTTCTCAACTCAAACTAGCAACAACAACTAAATGATTGATAACATCTATATTGATCAATAAGCCATTGATTTCTGGAAAAAAATGAATTGTACTGTATTCTGGCGCGCGGTCTGTGCATGCACATGATACTGGCACACGTCTTTCTGTGAGTCACAGTCGGATGCGCGCTTTCTTTTGACTTGTCTCGCGTGAATGGTTTTAAGCAATCGCATGAGAGCATTATCATGTAACACTAGCCAAAGGATGACAAAAAATAAAAGATGCTGGGTTAATTGCGTTAACAGCCCATTGTTTATTTTACATAAAATTGCAGCATTTTGATCGCATAAGCTTGACATAGTGATTACAATTTTGATATGGTTAATCATGCCGCACTATTACAATAGCAGATTTGCTAGGGTTCTCATAACATTAGGAACATATTAGTTAGAGATAATCAATAACATGTGGAGATGCACCGATTGATCGGCTGGTGATCGGAATCGACCAATTTCCACGTGATCGGCCGTGATCGGCGACCGGCCAGTCAGTCTGACATATGCCGATTTTATTTATATTAAATATATCATTTTTTTCTAGTTGTTTATTGGATGTGAAAAGGAAATGGTTCTTCCATAACACTGCACTTCAGATGTGTGTTAATTTTCCACACCAGGAGAACTTGATATAGTTCTGTTTTATAGCAATTATCTTTTCAAAAATGTTCTATGCAAAATGTTCAATTAAAGAGAAGATAGAAAATAAATATTTGTGTGTAATGTGAAGTGATTTGAAAAAATGAAATCAGAATCGGCTAAAATCGGCAGGTCAAACTCAAGGAAAAATCGGAAATTGGGATTGGCCTAGAAAATTGTAATCGGTTCATCTCTAATAACATGGTTATTGTTCATCTGGGGTATTATTATTTTTTACCTTATGTGGATCATCTGACCTATTAAATTCTTAGGAAGTCAAGTTAACTTTCACAATGTGTATTTGAGTATAGGTTAAATAGGCCAGCCAAGGATAGCCTAACCCAAATGTTCAACTAGAACCTTATATTCTTACTGCACTATTTTTTATCACCACATAGATGCAACAAAAGAGGACACTTCGCTTGGTCCACTTCGGTTGGTGAATGATGACAAAAATCCAAATTGCAAAGTCAAGACAATCATTGTTGATGGAAGGCCACACCTGTGTCTGTTTAGTATAAGACATATCTTTCCAGATGAAGAGGTCACATACAACTATGGGGATTCCTCTTGGCCTTGGCGTTTAAGGGTGAGTCTCTCAAAGACTTTATCACTGAAAGTCAACCATGTTCTGTATTTCATGAATTTTAGTTTTTTATATGATGCAGATTATTAAAAAAAAAAAGTCTGCATTTCTGCTTTATTTTCATAACTCGTGTGTTGGGGGATGGGCATGACACTGACCTGAAATGTAAGGACAGTTCTCCACTACGAGGACCGTCATGTCAGGGTTAGGGTTTGAGGAAAAGCTGTTGCTTTGGGTATGTGTCAGCTGCTGCTTTATTGTGGATAAGCTGTAGACCAATATGCACTGGAAAGGAAATGATATGTTGATGTTTATAATGTTATCTGACTTTATAGACAAGATCTGTGTGTCAGCCTTCTCCTCCTCACATGTTTTATATGTCTGCTTTGTGCACGACGAAGCCATGAAAGGGCCACTAGATATTAAGACTTTGGTTGATTCTAGAATTAGTTGCGGTGACCAATTAGCAAACATCCTTGCCTCAGTGTTGTACCTGTCTTTCTCATAATTACAGGAATTGTGTGACGAGACATCAGTGGCTGTGACTGAATGCAGTGTGAATCCTTCCTCATCAGTGAAACAGAAAGTAAGCATGTTCCTTCATTGTTTTCTTCTCTTTGACACAGGCAATGTTAAAGGGTTAGTTCACCAAAAATGAAAATTCTGTCAGTATTTACTCACCCTCATGTTGTTCCAAACCTCTATGTGTTTATTTGTTCTGCTGATATTTGAAGAAAATCAAAAGATTTTTTGTATGTATTTTTTCCTACTATGGTAGTCAATGGGGAATGAGATCTGTTTGATTAAAACATTCTTCCAAATATCTTCCTTTGTGTTCAGCAGAACAAATAAACACATAGAGGTTTGGAACAACCTGAGGGTGAGTAAATACTGACTGAAATTTCATTTTTGGGTGAACTAACCCTTTAAGTGTAGGATGGTTGGGCATCATACTCGACTGGTTGACGCGGACTGTCGTCTTAAAGACGCTGTTGTGACGTCTCAAATTCGAGTAAAATGTACCTTGCTCAGTTCATACATTTTCATAACTCGTGTGTTGGGGGATGGGCATGACACTGACCTGAAATGTAAGGACAGTTCTCCACTACGAGGACCGTCATGTCAGGGTTAGGGTTTAAGGAAAAGATGTTGCTTTGGGTATGTGTCAGCTGCTGCTTTATTGTGGATAAGCTGTAGAACCAATATGCACTGGAAAGGAAATGGTATGTTGATGTTTATAATGTAATGTGTTTTGGATTTATTTGACTTTATAGACAAGATCTGCATGTCAGCCTTCTCCTCCTCACATGTTTTATATGTCTGCTTTGTGCACGACGGAGCCATGAAAGGGCAACTAGATATTAAGACTTTGGTTGATTCTAGAATTAGTTGCAGTGACCAATTAGCAAACATCCTTGCCTCAGTGTTGTACCTGTCTTTCTCATAATTACAGGAATTGTGTGACGAGACATCAGTGGCTGTGACTGAATGCAGTGTGAATCCTTCCTCATCAGTGAAACAGAAAGTAAGTGAACGGATGTTCCTTCATTGTTTTCTTCTCATTGACACAGGCAATGTTAAGTGTAGGATGGTTGGGCATCATACTCGACTGGTTGACGTGGACTGTCGTCTTAAAGACGCTGTTGTGACGTCTCAAATTCGAGTAAAATGTACCTTGCTCAGTTCATACATTTTCATAACTCGTGTGTTGGGGGATGGGCATGACACTGACCTGAAATGTAAGGACAGTTCTCCACTACGAGGACCGTCATGTTAGGGTTAGGGTTTGAGGAAAAGCTGTTGCTTTGGGTATGTGTCAGCTGCTGCTTTATTGTGGATAAGCTGTAGAACCAATATGCACTGGAAAGGAAATGATATGTTGATGTTTATAATGTTATCTGACTTTATAGACAAGATCTGTGTGTCAGCCTTCTCCTCCTCACATGTTTTATATGTCTGCTTTGTGCACGACGAAGCCATGAAAGGGCCACTAGATATTAAGACTTTGGTTGATTCTAGAATTAGTTGCGGTGACCAATTAGCAAACATCCTTGCCTCAGTGTTGTACCTGTCTTTCTCATAATTACAGGAATTGTGTGACGAGACATCAGTGGCTGTGACTGAATGCAGTGTGAATCCTTCCTCATCAGTGAAACAGAAAGTAAGTGAACGGATGTTCCTTCATTGTTTTCTTCTCTTTGACACAGGCAATGTTAAAGGGTTAGTTCACCTAAAAATGAAATTTCAGTCTGTATTTACTCACCCTCATGTTGTTCCAAACCTCTATGTGTTTATTTGTTCTGCTGAACACAAAGGAAGATATTTGTATATGTATTTTTTCCTACTATGGTAGTCAATGGGGAATGAGATCTGTTTGATTAAAACATTCTTCCAAATATCTTCCTTTGTGTTCAGCAGAACAAATAAACACATAGAGGTTTGGAACAACATGAGGGTGAGTAAATACTGACTGAAATTTCATTTTTGGGTGAACTAACCCTTTAAGTGTAGGATGGTTGGGCATCATACTGGACTGGTTGACGTGGACTGTCGTCTTAAAGACGCTGTTGTGACGTCTCAAATTCGAGTAAAATGTACCTTGCTCAGTTCATACATTTTCATAACTCGTGTGTTGGGGGATGGGCATGACACTGACCTGAAATGTAAGGACAGTTCTCCACTACGAGGACCGTCATGTCAGGGTTAGGGTTTGAGGAAAAGCTGTTGCTTTGGGTATGTGTCAGCTGCTGCTTTATTGTGGATAAGCTGTAGAACCAATATGCACTGGAAAGGAAATGGTATGTTGATGTTTATAATGTAATGTGTATTGGATTTATTTGACTTTATAGACCAGATCTGCATGTATCAGCCTTCTCCTCACATGTTTTATATGTCTGCTTTGTGCACGACGGAGCCATGAAAGGGCCACTAGATATTAAGGCTGAATCCCAATTCTCTGTCTTACCCCTTCCCCTTCGTCTTACCCCTAGGCCTTGTCCCTCGAAATCGAGTGGTAAGCGCTAGTGCAAACATACCCCTATGAAATGAGACACCACTCGGTTACGTCCTTGGCGTCTATCACCAGGGGCGAAAAGTGTTGATCACAAACTTCTCGTAACTTTTAAGATGCCGTCTGCAAGTATGCTTATGTCGATTGCGTTGGTACTGGAGATTTATTTGCGATTGTCAGCAACAAATACAGGACAGTATATTTAAAGCACGTACTGATGTCTCCAGGGTGACCATACAACGTCATCCTTTTCCCGGACATGTCACCCGGATTTCGGGATCGCTGAAAATGTCCGGGATTCTGCTTTTGCTTTCTGCCTTCACTATTCATTATGTTTACATGCACAAGGTGTTGTTTCAATCGGACTGAATTCATTAATTTAAATCTGTGAATCTGAATGGATTGTTTATCTAATATTCCCGTGTTTTCGTCTCAGTCGGGATCCGTTTGAAGCTGAATGCATCATCTGAGAAGCTGATCACGTACGTGTCAGTGTCAAATAATGTACACATAATGAATGGCGACTGTAGAAAGCCAAAGCTGAATACCGTAAATTTTGGGTGATCTTGAAATGTGGGACTGATTGTGCAAATCAGCAATGTAACGTTAGCATAGCCTAGCGTAGCAAAGTAGCGATTTTTAAAAAAGTTTCAATAAACAACATACAGTAGTTGCAAATATAGCCTATATGTACATAACTGTGTAGAGCACAAAACAAGACTGTCATATTTTTTTTTATCAATCATGTAAGTGAAAAAACTTTAATTTATGGGACACTCTGGATGGTATGCCATCCAGAGTGAAGGAGAGGCAATGCCATCGTTGCCAGTTGCGCAGTGCATTTCTTACCCCTTGGTTTCAAGTAAGCTCATGAAAATTCTTGGTCTTAAGTGGTATATACCCCTTCCCCTTACCCCTAGATCAAAATGAAAATTGGGATGGCGCTTCCTCTCACGTGAACGTGCAAAACTGAGGGGGGTAGGGGTGAGGGGAAGGGGTAAGGAGTGGGGGTACGGGTGGGGTGGGGTGTAGGAGTGAGGGGTAGGGGGAAGGGGTAAGGAGTGGGGGGTAGGGGTGGGGTGTAGGAGTGAGGGGTAGGGGAAGGGTAAGGGGTGGGGGTGGGGGATAGGGGTAGGAGTGAGGGGAAGGTGGAAGGGGTGAGGGGTAGGGGGAAGGGGAAAGGGTAAGACGGATAATTGGGATTCAGCCTAAGACTTTGGTTGATTCTAGAATTAGTTGCAGTGACCAATTGGCAGACATCCTTGCCTCAGTGTTGTACCTGTCTTTCTCATAATTACAGGAATTGTGTGACGAGACATCAGTGGCTGTGACTGAATGCAGTGTGAATCCTTCCTCATCAGTGAAACAGAAAGTAAGTGAACGGATGTTCCTTCATTGTTTTCTTCTCTTTGACACAGGCAATTTTAAGTGTAGGATGGTTGGGCATCATACTCGACTGGTTGACGTGGACTGTCGTCTTAAAGACGCTGTTGTGACGTCTCAAATTCGAGTAAAATGTACCTTGCTCGGTTCATACATTTTCATAACTCGTGTGTTGGGGGATGGGCATGACACTGACCTGAAATGTAAGGACAGTTCTCCACTACGAGGACCGTCATGTTAGGGTTAGGGTTTGAGGAAAAGATGTTGCTTTGGGTATGTGTCAGCTGCTGCTTTATTGTGGATAAGCTGTAGACCCAATATGCACTGGAAAGGAAATGATATGTTGATGTTTATAATGTTATCTGACTTTATAGACAAGATCTGTGTGTCAGCCTTCTCCTCCTTACGTTTTATATGTCTGCTTTGTGCACGACGAAGCCATGAAAGGGCCACTAGATATTAAGACTTTGGTTGATTCTAGAATTAGTTGCAGTGACCAATTAGCAAACATCCTTGCCTCAGTGTTGTACCTGTCTTTCTCATAATTACAGGAATTGTGTGACGAGACATCAGTGGCTGTGACTGAATGCAGTGTGAATCCTTCCTCATCAGTGAAACAGAAAGTAAGCATGTTCCTTCATTGTTTTCTTCTCTTTGACACAGGCAATGTTAAAGGGTTAGTTCACACAAAAATGAAATTTCAGTCTGTATTTACTCACCCTCATGTTGTTCCAAACCTATATGTGTTTATTTGTTCTGCTGATATTTGGAAGAATGTTTTAATCAAACAGATCTCATTCCCCATTGACTACCATTGTATGTATTTTTTCCTACTATGGTAGTCAATGGGGAATGAGATCTGTTTGATTAAAACATTCTTCCAAATATCTTCCTTTTTGTTCAGCAGAACAAATAAACACATAGAGGTTTGGAACAACATGAGGGTGAGTAAATACAGACTGAAATTTCATTTTTGGGTGAACTAACCCTTTAAGTGTAGGATGGTTGGGCATCATACTCGACTGGTTGACGCGGACTGTCGTCTTAAAGACGCTGTTGTGACGTCTCAAATTCGAGTAAAATGTACCTTGCTCGGTTCATACATTTTCATAACTCGTGTGTTGGGGGATGGGCATGACACTGACCTGAAATGTAAGGACAGTTCTCCACTACGAGGACAGTCATGTTAGGGTTAGGGTTTGAGGAAAAGCTGTTGCTTTGGGTATGTGTCAGCTGCTGCTTTATTGTGGATAAGCTGTAGAACCAATATGCACTGGAAAGGAAATGGTATGTTGATGTTCATAATGTTATTTCACTTTATAGACAAGATCTGCATGTCAGCCGTGTCCTCCTCACATGTTTTATATGTCTGCTTTGTGCACGACGAAGCCATGAAAGGGCCACTAGATATTAAGACTTTGGTTGATTCTAGAATTAGTTGCAGTGACCAATTAGCAAACATCCTTGCCTCAGTGTTGTACCTGTCTTTCTCATAATTACAGGAATTGTGTGACGAGACATCAGTGGCTGTGACTGAATGCAGTGTGAATCCTTCCTCATCAGTGAAACAGAAAGTAAGTGAACGGATGTTCCTTCATTGTTTTCTTCTCTTTGACACAGGCAATGTTAAAGGGTTAGTTCACCTAAAAATGAAAATTCTGTCAGTATTTACTCACCCTCATGCTGTTCCAAACCTATATGTGTTTATTTGTTCTGCTGAACACAAAGGAAGATATTTGTATATGTATTTTTTCCTACTATGGTAGTCAATGGGGAATGAGATCTGTTTGATTAAAACATTCTTCCAAATATCTTCCTTTGTGTTCAGCAGAACAAATAAACACATAGAGGTTTGGAACAACATGAGGGTGAGTAAATACAGACTGAAATTTCATTTTTGGGTGAACTAACCCTTTAAGTGTAGGATGGTTGGGCATCATACTCGACTGGTTGACGTGGACTGTCGTCTTAAAGACGCTGTTGTGACGTCTCAAATTCGAGTAAAATGTACCTTGCTCGGTTCATACATTTTCATAACTCGTGTGTTGGGGGATGGGCATGACACTGACCTGAAATGTAAGGACAGTTCTCCACTACGAGGACCGTCATGTTGGGGTTAGGGTTTGAGGAAAAGATGTTGCTTTGGGTATGTGTCAGCTGCTGCTTTATTGTGGATAAGATGTAGAACCAATATGCACTGGAAAGGAAATGGTATGTTGATGTTTATAATGTAATGTGTATTGGATTTATTTGACTTTATAGACCAGATCTGCATGTATCAGCCTTCTCTTCACATGTTTTATATGTCTGCTTTGTGCACGACGGAGCCATGAAAGGGCCACTAGATATTAAGGCTGAATCCCAATTCTCTGTCTAATCCCTTCCCCTTCGTCTTACCCTTAGGCCTTGTCCCTCGAAATCGAGTGGTAAGCGCTAGTGCAAACATACCCCTATGAAATGAGACACCACTTGGTTACGTCATCTTACATCGTCCTTGGCGTCTATCACCAGGGGTGAAAAGTGTTGATCACAAACTTCTCGTAACTTTTAAGATGCCGTCTGCAAGTATGCTTATGTCGATTGCGTTGGTACTGGAGATTTATTTGCGATTGTCAGCAACAAATACAGGACAGTATATTTAAAGCACGTACTGATGTCTCCAGGGTGACCATACAACGTCATCCTTTTCCCGGACATGTCACCCGGATTTCGGGATCGCTGAAAATGTCCGGGATTCGGCTTTTGCTTTCTGCCTTCACTATTCATTATGTTTACATGCACAAGGTGTTGTTTCAATCGGACTGAATTCATTAATTTAAATCTGTGAATCTGAATGGATTGTTTATCTAATATTCCCGTGTTTTCGTCTCAGTCGGGATCCGTTTGAAGCTGAATGCATCATCTGAGAAGCTGATCACGTACGTGTCAGTGTCAAATAATGTACACATAATGAATGGCGACTGTAGAAAGCCAAAGCTGAATACCGTAAATTTTGGGTGATCTTGAAATGTGGGACTGATTGTGCAAATCAGCAATGTAACGTTAGCATAGCCTAGCGTAGCAAAGTAGCGATTTTTAAAAAGTTTCAATAAACAACATACAGTAGTTGCAAATATAGCCTATATGTACATAACTGTGTAGAGCACAAAACAAGACTGTCATATTTTTTTTTATCAATCATGTAAGTAAAAAAACTTCAATTTATGGGACACTCTGGATGGTATGCCATCCAGAGTGAAGGAGAGGCAATGCCATCGTTGCCAGTTGCGCAGTGCATTTCTTACCCCTTGGTTTCAAGTAAGCTCATGAAAATTCTTGGTCTTAAGTGGTATATACCCCTTCCCCTTACCCCTAGATCAAAATGAAAATTGGGATGGCGCTTCCTCTCACGTGAACGTGCAAAACTGAGGGGGGTAGGGGTGAGGGTAAGGAGTGGGGGTGGGGGGTAGGGGTGAGGGTAAGGGGTGGGGGTGGGGTGTAGGAGTGAGGGGTGAGGGGAAGGGCTGAGGGGTAGGGGGAAGGGGAAAGGGTAAGACGGATAATTGGGATTCAGCCTAAGACTTTGGTTGATTCTAGAATTAGTTGCAGTGACCAATTAGCAAACATCCTTGCCTCAGTGTTGTACCTGTCTTTCTCATAATTACAGGAATTGTGTGACGAGACATCAGTGGCTGTGACTGAATGCAGTGTGAATCCTTCCTCATCAGTGAAACAGAAAGTAAGTGAACGGATGTTCCTTCATTGTTTTCTTCTCATTGACACAGGCAATGTTAAGTGTAGGATGGTTGGGCATCATACTCGACTGGTTGACGTGGACTGTCGTCTTAAAGACGCTGTTGTGACGTCTCAAATTCGAGTAAAATGTACCTTGCTCAGTTCATACATTTTCATAACTCGTGTGTTGGGGGATGGGCATGACACTGACCTGAAATGTAAGGACAGTTCTCCACTACGAGGACCGTCATGTTAGGGTTAGGGTTTGAGGAAAAGCTGTTGCTTTGGGTATGTGTCAGCTGCTGCTTTATTGTGGATAAGCTGTAGAACCAATATGCACTGGAAAGGAAATGATATGTTGATGTTTATAATGTTATCTGACTTTATAGACAAGATCTGCATGTCAGCCTTCTCCTCCTCACATGTTTTATATGTCTGCTTTGTGCACGACGGAGCCATGAAAGGGCAACTAGATATTAAGACTTTGGTTGATTCTAGAATTAGTTGCAGTGACCAATTAGCAAACATCCTTGCCTCAGTGTTGTACCTGTCTTTCTCATAATTACAGGAATTGTGTGACGAGACATCAGTGGCTGTGACTGAATGCAGTGTGAATCCTTCCTCATCAGTGAAACAGAAAGTAAGTGAACGGATGTTCCTTCATTGTTTTCTTCTCTTTGACACAGGCAATGTTAAAGGGTTAGTTCACCTAAAAATGAAATTTCAGTCTGTATTTACTCACCCTCATGTTGTTCCAAACCTCTATGTGTTTATTTGTTCTGCTGAACACAAAGGAAGATATTTGTATATGTATTTTTTCCTACTATGGTAGTCAATGGGGAATGAGATCTGTTTGATTAAAACATTCTTCCAAATATCTTCCTTTGTGTTCAGCAGAACAAATAAACACATAGAGGTTTGGAACAACATGAGGGTGAGTAAATACAGACTGAAATTTCATTTTTGGGTGAACTAACCCTTTAAGTGTAGGATGGTTGGGCATCATACTCGACTGGTTGACGTGGACTGTCGTCTTAAAGACGCTGTTGTGACGTCTCAAATTCGAGTAAAATGTACCTTGCTCAGTTCATACATTTTCATAACTCGTGTGTTGGGGGATGGGCATGACACTGACCTGAAATGTAAGGACAGTTCTCCACTACGAGGACCGTCATGTCAGGGTTAGGGTTTGAGGAAAAGATGTTGCTTTGGGTATGTGTCAGCTGCTGCTTTATTGTGGATAAGCTGTAGAACCAATATGCACTGGAAAGGAAATGGTATGTTGATGTTTATAATGTAATGTGTATTGGATTTATTTGACTTTATAGACCAGATCTGCATGTATCAGCCTTCTCCTCACATGTTTTATATGTCTGCTTTGTGCACGACGGAGCCATGAAAGGGCCACTAGATATTAAGGCTGAATCCCAATTCTCTGTCTTACCCCTTCCCCTTCGTCTTACCCCTAGGCCTTGTCCCTCGAAATCGAGTGGTAAGCGCTAGTGCAAACATACCCCTATGAAATGAGACACCACTCGGTTACGTCCTTGGCGTCTATCACCAGGGGCGAAAAGTGTTGATCACAAACTTCTCGTAACTTTTAAGATGCCGTCTGCAAGTATGCTTATGTCGATTGCGTTGGTACTGGAGATTTATTTGCGATTGTCAGCAACAAATACAGGACAGTATATTTAAAGCACGTATTGATGTCTCCAGGGTGACCATACAACGTCCTCCTTTTCCCGGACATGTCACCCGGATTTCGGGATCGCTGAAAATGTCCGGGATTCGGCTTTTGCTTTCTGCCTTCACTATTCATTATGTTTACATGCACAAGGTGTTGTTTCAATCGGACTGAATTCATTAATTTAAATCTGTGAATCTGAATGGATTGTTTATCTAATATTCCCGTGTTTTCGTCTCAGTCGGGATCCGTTTGAAGCTGAATGCATCATCTGAGAAGCTGATCACGTACGTGTCAGTGTCAAATAATGTACACATAATGAATGGCGACTGTAGAAAGCCAAAGCTGAATACCGTAAATTTTGGGTGATCTTGAAATGTGGGACTGATTGTGCAAATCAGCAATGTAACGTTAGCATAGCCTAGCGTAGCAAAGTAGCGATTTTTAAAAAAGTTTCAATAAACAACATACAGTAGTTGCAAATATAGCCTATATGTACATAACTGTGTAGAGCACAAAACAAGACTGTCATATTTTTTTTTATCAATCATGTAAGTAAAAAAACTTCAATTTATGGGACACTCTGGATGGTATGCCATCCAGAGTGAAGGAGAGGCAATGCCATCGTTGCCAGTTGCGCAGTGCATTTCTTACCCCTTGGTTTCAAGTAAGCTCATGAAAATTCTTGGTCTTAAGTGGTATATACCCCTTCCCCTTACCCCTAGATCAAAATGAAAATTGGGATGGCGCTTCCTCTCACGTGAACGTGCAAAACTGAGGGGGGTAGGGGTGAGGGTAAGGTGGGGGTGGGGGGTAGGGGTGAGGGTAAGGGGTGGGGGTGGGGTGTAGGAGTGAGGGGTGAGGGGAAGGGCTGAGGGGTAGGGGGAAGGGGAAAGGGTAAGACGGATAATTGGGATTCAGCCTAAGACTTTGGTTGATTCTAGAATTAGTTGCAGTGACCAATTAGCAAACATCCTTGCCTCAGTGTTGTACCTGTCTTTCTCATAATTACAGGAATTGTGTGACGAGACATCAGTGGCTGTGACTGAATGCAGTGTGAATCCTTCCTCATCAGTGAAACAGAAAGTAAGTGAACGGATGTTCCTTCATTGTTTTCTTCTCATTGACACAGGCAATGTTAAGTGTAGGATGGTTGGGCATCATACTCGACTGGTTGACGTGGACTGTCGTCTTAAAGACGCTGTTGTGACGTCTCAAATTCGAGTAAAATGTACCTTGCTCAGTTCATACATTTTCATAACTCGTGTGTTGGGGGATGGGCATGACACTGACCTGAAATGTAAGGACAGTTCTCCACTACGAGGACAGTCATGTCAGGGTTAGGGTTTGAGGAAAAGCTGTTGCTTTGGGTATGTGTCAGCTGCTGCTTTATTGTGGATAAGCTGTAGAACCAATATGCACTGGAAAGGAAATGATATGTTGATGTTTATAATGTTATCTGACTTTATAGACAAGATCTGTGTGTCAGCCTTCTCCTCCTCACATGTTTTATATGTCTGCTTTGTGCACGACGAAGCCATGAAAGGGCCACTAGATATTAAGACTTTGGTTGATTCTAGAATTAGTTGCGGTGACCAATTAGCAAACATCCTTGCCTCAGTGTTGTACCTGTCTTTCTCATAATTACAGGAATTGTGTGACGAGACATCAGTGGCTGTGACTGAATGCAGTGTGAATCCTTCCTCATCAGTGAAACAGAAAGTAAGTGCGGATGTTCCTTCATTGTTTTCTTCTCTTTGACACAGGCAATGTTAAAGGGTTAGTTCACACAAAAATGAAATTTCAGTCTGTATTTACTCACCCTCATGTTGTTCCAAACCTATATGTGTTTATTTGTTCTGCTGATATTTGGAAGAATGTTTTAATCAAACAGATCTCATTCCCCATTGACTACCATTGTATGTATTTTTTCCTACTATGGTAGTCAATGGGGAATGAGATCTGTTTGATTAAAACATTCTTCCAAATATCTTCCTTTTTGTTCAGCAGAACAAATAAACACATAGAGGTTTGGAACAACATGAGGGTGAGTAAATACAGACTGAAATTTCATTTTTGGGTGAACTAACCCTTTAAGTGTAGGATGGTTGGGCATCATACTCGACTGGCTGACGCGGACTGTCGTCTTAAAGACGCTGTTGTGACGTCTCAAATTCGAGTAAAATGTACCTTGCTCGGTTCATACATTTTCATAACTCGTGTGTTGGGGGATGGGCATGACACTGACCTGAAATGTAAGGACAGTTCTCCACTACGAGGACCGTCATGTTAGGGTTAGGGTTTGAGGAAAAGCTGTTGCTTTGGGTATGTGTCAGCTGCTGCTTTATTGTGGATAAGCTGTAGAACCAATATGCACTGGAAAGGAAATGGTACGTTGATGTTTATAATGTAATGTGTTTTGGATTTATTTGACTTTATAGACAAGATCTGCATGTCAGCCTTCTCCTCCTCACATGTTTTATATGTCTGCTTTGTGCACGACGAAGCCATGAAAGGGCCACTAGATATTAAGACTTTGGTTGATTCTAGAATTAGTTGCGGTGACCAATTGGCAAACATCCTTGCAGGCAGGCAGCAGAAAAATCAGAGGTCGATATAACAGTCCGAGTCGAGGCAGGCAGCAGAAGAATCAGAGGTCGATATAACTAGTGCTGTGTTGAAAAAATCGATTCACCAATTGTTACGACAATGGACTTTATTTCATTAAACCATTCATTCAACGAACACGTTCAAAAAATATTCATTAAATTCATTTTAATTTCATTAAAATAGTTATTAGATTCATTAAAATAGATGTAATGAAACAACTTCAAGGTGTTAATTATTTTGAACTTTGAGTTCCACTTAAGGCTCAGCTGAGCAGCAATGCGTCGCATGGGCAAATGGCATTGATTCAATGCGTGACTCACTGATTTTATTTCCCCGTGGCTTCCTAGTGCTGTGGGATGCTGATCAGCGCTGCTGCTGACGCGCATTTATGGTAAATACCCGTAACGTGAACGTTAAAAGGATGATTCGACAACTATTTTGCATTCCTTTGACACGGCACGGCAAGCTTCCATGAATACATATGACTTCAAAGACAGACGCAGGTAATCGCACGCGCTCTGCCGATCTGTTTCATTCACTGTCTGTGCGAAGCCTCTGTAGGCTACACATCACCACGATAAACAGTCTCGTTATCATTATGAACTTGTCTAACATTCAATACACATGCATGAAGTTCAAAACAAGAAGGGTATAGCCTTATAAAAAATGTTAATATCAAAGTTCCTGCGGTTACTTGCAATCCTCCTGCTGATTGCCTACCTCTGCGTCCTCTGTCGTCTACACCAGTGCAAGTTAGTGAAAGCAGTTGTATCAACACGGAAGGGGGATTTTTGTTTACAACAATCAATAGAATGATTGTACATTAATTTGCAGTTGAATGTCTATAATAAATTATTACAGGAATGTAGTTATGCAACATATTGATACTATTATTATTAATAATACTATCAATATGTTGCATTGCATAATAACAGTCCGAGTCGAGGCAGGCAGCAGAAGAATCAGAGGTCGATATAACAGTCCGAGTCGAGGCAGGCAGCAGAAGAATCAGAGGTCGATATAACAGTCCGAGTCGAGGCAGGCAGCAGAAGAATCAGAGGTCGATATAACAGTCCGAGTCGAGGCAGGCAGCAGAAGAATCAGAGGTCGATATAACAGTCCGGGTCGAGGCAGGCAGCAGAAGAATCAGAGGTCGATATAACAGTCCGAGTCGAGGCAGGCAGCAGAAGAATCAGAGGTCGATATAACAGTCCGAGTCGAGGCAGGCAGCAGAAGAATCAGAGGTCGATATAACAGTCAGAGTCGAGGCAGGCAGCAGAAGAATCAGAGGTCGATATAACAGTCCGAGTCGAGGCAGGCAGCAGAAGAATCAGAGGTCGATATAACAGTCCGAGTCGAGGCAGGCAGCAGAACAATCAGAGGTCGATATAACAGTCAGAGTCGAGGCAGGCAGCAGAAGAATCAGAGGTCGATATAACAGTCCGAGTCGAGGCAGGCAGCAGAAGAATCAGAGGTCGATATAACAGTCCGAGTCGAGGCAGGCAGCAGAAGAATCAGAGGTCGATATAACAGTCCGAGTCGAGGCAGGCAGCAGAAGAATCAGAGGTCGATATAACAGTCCGAGTCGAGGCAGGCAGCAGAACAATCAGAGGTCGATATAACAGTCCGAGTCGAGGCAGGCAGCAGAAGAATCAGAGGTCGATATAACAGTCCGAGTCGAGGCAGGCAGCAGAAGAATCAGAGGTCGATATAACAGTCCGAGTCGAGGCAGGCAGCAGAACAATCAGAGGTCGATATAACAGTCCGAGTCGAGGCAGGCAGCAGAAGAATCAGAGGTCGATATAACAGTCCGGGTCGAGGCAGGCAGCAGAAGAATCAGAGGTCGATATAACAGTCAGAGTCGAGGCAGGCAGCAGAAGAATCAGAGGTCGATATAACAGTCCGAGTCGAGGCAGGCAGCAGAAGAATCAGAGGTCGATATAACAGTCCGAGTCGAGGCAGGCAGCAGAACAATCAGAGGTCGATATAACAGTCCGGGTCGAGGCAGGCAGCAGAAGAATCAGAGGTCGATATAACAGTCAGAGTCGAGGCAGGCAGCAGAAGAATCAGAGGTCGATATAACAGTCCGGGTCGAGGCAGGCAGCAGAAGAATCAGAGGTCGATATAACAGTCCGGGTCGAGGCAGGCAGCAGAAGAATCAGAGGTCGATATAACAGTCAGAGTCGAGGCAGGCAGCAGAAGAATCAGAGGTCGATATAACAGTCCGAGTCGAGGCAGGCAGCAGAAGAATCAGAGGTCGATATAACAGTCCGAGTCGAGGCAGGCAGCAGAACAATCAGAGGTCGATATAACAGTCCGAGTCGAGGCAGGCAGCAGAAGAATCAGAGGTCGATATAACAGTCCGGGTCGAGGCAGGCAGCAGAAGAATCAGAGGTCGATATAACAGTCAGAGTCGAGGCAGGCAGCAGAAGAATCAGAGGTCGATATAACAGTCCGAGTCGAGGCAGGCAGCAGAAGAATCAGAGGTCGATATAACAGTCCGAGTCGAGGCAGGCAGCAGAACAATCAGAGGTCGATATAACAGTCCGAGTCGAGGCAGGCAGCAGAAGAATCAGAGGTCGATATAACAGTCCGAGTCGAGGCAGGCAGCAGAAGAATCAGAGGTCGATATAACAGTCCGGGTCGAGGCAGGCAGCAGAAGAATCAGAGGTCGATATAACAGTCCGGTCGAGGCAGGCAGCAGAAGAATCAGAGGTCGATATAACAGTCAGAGTCGAGGCAGGCAGCAGAAGAATCAGAGGTCGATATAACAGTCCGAGTCGAGGCAGGCAGCAGAAGAATCAGAGGTCGATATAACAGTCCGGTCGAGGCAGGCAGCAGAACAATCAGAGGTCGATATAACAGTCAGAGTCGAGGCAGGCAGCAGAAGAATCAGAGGTCGATATAACAGTCCGAGTCGAGGCAGGCAGCAGAAGAATCAGAGGTCGATATAACAGTCAGAGTCGAGGCAGGCAGCAGAAGAATCAGAGGTCCATATAACAGTCAGAGTCGAGGCAGGCAGCAGAAGAATCAGAGGTCGATATAACAGTCCGAGTCGAGGCAGGCAGCAGAACAATCAGAGGTCGATATAACAGTCAGAGTCGAGGCAGGCAGCAGAAGAATCAGAGGTCGATATAACAGTCCGGGTCGAGGCAGGCAGCAGAACAATCAGAGGTCGATATAACAGTCAGAGTCGAGGCAGGCAGCAGAAGAATCAGAGGTCGATATAACAGTCAGAGTCGAGGCAGGCAGCAGAAGAATCAGAGGTCCATATAACAGTCAGAGTCGAGGCAGGCAGCAGAAGAATCAGAGGTCGATATAACAGTCCGAGTCGAGGCAGGCAGCAGAAGAATCAGAGGTCGATATAACAGTCCGAGTCGAGGCAGGCAGCAGAACAATCAGAGGTCGATATAACAGTCCGAGTCGAGGCAGGCAGCAGAAGAATCAGAGGTCGATATAACAGTCCGAGTCGAGGCAGGCAGCAGAAGAATCAGAGGTCGATATAACAGTCCGAGTCGAGGCAGGCAGCAGAAGAATCAGAGGTCGATATAACAGTCCGAGTCGAGGCAGGCAGCAGAACAATCAGAGGTCGATATAACAGTCCGAGTCGAGGCAGGCAGCAGAAGAATCAGAGGTCGATATAACAGTCCGAGTCGAGGCAGGCAGCAGAACAATCAGAGGTCGATATAACAGTCCGAGTCGAGGCAGGCAGCAGAAGAATCAGAGGTCGATATAACAGTCCGAGTCGAGGCAGGCAGCAGAAGAATCAGAGGTCGATATAACAGTCCGAGTCGAGGCAGGCAGCAGAAGAATCAGAGGTCGATATAACAGTCCGGGTCGAGGCAGGCAGCAGAAGAATCAGAGGTCGATATAACAGTCCGAGTCGAGGCAGGCAGCAGAAGAATCAGAGGTCGATATAACAGTCCGAGTCGAGGCAGGCAGCAGAAGAATCAGAGGTCGATATAACAGTCCGGGTCGAGGCAGGCAGCAGAAGAATCAGAGGTCGATATAACAGTCCGAGTCGAGGCAGGCAGCAGAAGAATCAGAGGTCGATATAACAGTCCGAGTCGAGGCAGGCAGCAGAAGAATCAGAGGTCGATATAACAGTCCGAGTCGAGGCAGGCAGCAGAAGAATTAGAGGTCGATATAACAGTCCGGGTCAAGGCAGGCAGCAGAAGAATCAGAGGTCGATAAAACAGTCAGTGAACGGGGTTTATATGGGTGAGTGTGCATGAGCTGCAGGTGTTTGTAATCGGTCTCAGGTAAGCGGCATGATGGGATGTTGAGCTCATGATGGTTAATATTCTGGTGAAAGTGTCCTACAGTGGTGAAGAGGAGGTGTAGTGGAAGCCTACTCTGTAACAGTAGTAGGGAAAGGGAACTGGGGTCTGATCTTCGTACACCGCTAACAGTGTAAATGTGGTCCTTTTTGTGTTGCACAGGACCAGAGACTAGTTTCCCTGTGTGCTTATCTGCTGATGTTTCACATGGTCCGAAACTGTTTGGATTGTTGGGCTGGAATACATTTTAATTGTTGCTTTTTACCCCTCAGGAAAAAGACAAATGAATCAGGATGAAACTGAGAACTCCAGAGGTATTTAAACATTTGGGTATATTAAAGTTATTCCATGTACATACATATAGGTATACATATGTGTATGTATATGTTTGTTTGTTTGTTTGTTTGTTTTACAGAGACCAAATCAAGGAGAATAGCGAAAAGGCCATGGAGCCCAAATGAAGATAATGCTTTTGTGAAACATTTCCATATTTCAAAGGGACACCTAGCAACAAAGGCAGAGTGTGAGCTGTGCAAGACTGCAGAGGACCCTGTCCTGAGAGAAAGAATGGCCCAAAATATAAGGCATTTCGTGAGGAACCGAGGTTTGATGTTGAAAAAGAAATCTTCTTAGAGTTCTTAGAGAGATCAGTATCGCTGATACCACCTTTAATGTCTGCCTGTTCAAGACATCCTTTTATATACTTTTATTAAACACTGTTTTGAAAGAAATGTACAAATACATGCATTTACTGGAAGGCATTATGTGCTTATTAGATCTCAGTTGTTGAGCCTTTTTTACCATTTGCAAAATAAAAAAAAAATGCCCTTTCAGTTTAATTTTGTTAGTTTTATTGGCTGTCTAGTTGCATTTCTTCATCTAATTGCCCTTTAACTAGTCTTCAGTGAAGTGTAAAACCTGCTGATCTTTGATCACTGACTTTTCTCCAACCAGGCTCATTTTGCACCACATTTGTATATGTTGGCTGATATATGTTAGCTACAGCACATGGTAGCACTTCATTTCGTGTGCGTATTACTTTTACAGGTTTAGTGGCAGCAAAAAGATGCACAATCATTCGTGAATTCACTCTTTAATGTTGAATAGTTGATTTGGTTTTACTCTAATACAGGTACTCCTGCTATGTGTGGACTTAATAGTGATGTCCATTTAAACCCAGTTTGTCCTCATAATCAAGGGTTAGTCAGGTGGTTGTGTGTGTTTGAGTGTGTGTGATCGAGGTCCAGTTAAACTCAAAATGTCCTCATAATCAAGGGTTAGTCAGGTGGTTGTGTGTGTTTGAGTGTGTGTGATCGAGGTCCAGTTAAACTCAAAATGTCCTCATAATCAAGGGTTAGTCAGGTGGTTGTGTGTGTTTCAGAGTGTGTGATCGAGGTCCAGTTAAACCCAAAATGTCCTCATAATCAAGGGTTAGTCAGGTGGTTGTGTGTGTGTGTGTGTGATCGAGGTCCAGTTAAACCCAAAATGTCCTCATAATCAAGGGTTAGTCAGGTGGTTGTGTGTGTTTGAGTGTGTGTGATCGAGGTCCAGTTAAACCCAAAATGTCCTCATAATCAAGGGTTAGTCAGGTGGTTGTGTGTGTTTCAGAGTGTGTGATCGAGGTCCAGTTAAACCCAAAATGTCCTCATAATCAAGGGTTAGTCAGGTGGTTGTGTGTGTGTGTGATCGAGGTCCAGTTAAACCCAAAATGTCCTCATAATCAAGGGTTAGTCAGGTGGTTGTGTGTGTTTCAGAGTGTGTGATCGAGGTCCAGTTAAACCCAAAATGTCCTCATAATCAAGGGTTAGTCAGGTGGTTGTGTGTGTGTGTGATCGAGGTCCAGTTAAACCCAAAATGTCCTCATAATCAAGGGTTAGTCAGGTGGTTGTGTGTGTGTGTGAGTGAGGTCCAGTTAAACCCAAAATGTCCTCATAATCAAGGGTTAGTCAGGTGGTTGTGTGTGTTTGAGTGTGTGTGATTGAGGTCCAGTTAAACCCAAAATGTCCTCATAATCAAGGGTTAGTCAGGGTTGTGTGTGTGTGTATGCATGATTCATATGGTTACTAATGTCCAGTTAAAACCAAATGGTCAGCAATGTTCATTTAGATATAAAACTAAGTCTTAAACAATCTTCTCTTTTCACATTAACAAAACCCAAACCCAATCAACTGGAAATATTTAGCTTTATTCAAAAGTATCTTTAGACAAAACTTTGTCATTTGTCAGTGATGGTTAAGTAGTAAACTTTCCATTTGTTTTTGTTTTTTTTATTTCTTAATTTTTAATGTTAAAATATTTCCATATTTATTTCACTTTCCCTCATCTCTCTTTGCTCTTCACTCACTTCATACCTGCTTAATCTCACATTACAAACTCAGGTTAGTTTTCTGAAATCTCTCTTAAACTTTAAGCCAGGTTGAACAATTGCTAATAATTATTATTTTATTTATTTATTTTATGCTGGTATTGAAACAGACTTAAGTGATGTGGCACTGCCATGGATAAAGTTAAACTATGATGCTCATCTATAATAATGTGTGTACTAGTAGATAATGTCCAGATAAACCAGGTTAGTCCCCATAATTAAGGGTTAGCTGTGTGTGTTTGTGTATGTGAGTGATGTCCAGATAAACCGGGGTTGTCCTCATAATTAAGGGTCAGATGGGTGTGTGTGCGTGTATGTGAGTGATGTCCAGATAAACCAGGGTGGTCCTCATAAATCATAATTAAACCAAGAAACGCCCACTCCTGCCCTGTCCTCATAGTGCTGTAGTTTGTCAGGTCTTCATATTTCCAGACTGTTTCATTAGAATGAAATTCTGAGTAGTCAGAATTTTACCCCATGCCATAAGGAGCAGTTTAATATTTCTTATTAATCTCTATGACAAAGGGAAAGGTGGGTCCCCATAAACCATGATGGGACTTTTTTGGGGAAAAAGTCCTTATAAACCACCCGTACCAGTATGTGTGTGTGTGTGTGTGTGTGTCAGGGGGAGGGGGGTTTCAAAAGATTGTTGACCATCACAAAATAGAAAGTGGCTGTATGAAAATTTTACCAAAATTTGTAATTTGACAATCAGGGCAATAATTAGGAAATGCCAATCAACTAAAGATGTTAGGAATCTGCCAGAAAGAGGATGCGTGTCTATTTTGCCTGAATGAACGGTGAGGGTGAAAGTTTGAGTAGCCAAAGACTCTTCAAGGATCACAGATGGATAATTGCAGAGATTAGTTGAGTCTTGGGGTCAGAAAGCCAAAAAGTTTCAAGAAAAATCCTCCAGGTGGACCTGGGGGCGTGATGGAGGGCCAGGCCCGTGGAGCAGAAGAGGGCCTGAAGACTGCGGCAGGATGGAAGGCCAGGGTGGAGCCAGCCAGGACGGTGAAGACCCCTTGGGCGACCACGGAGCAGAAGATCCCTCGGGGGTAGGTACCCAAGGGGGTAGCTATGGGGTCATAGGCTGGAGTAGGCACAGGCACAGACGATACCGGCTCAGGCACAGGAACAGACGACACCGGCTGAGGCACAGGAACAGACGAAAACTGCTCAGGCACAGGAACAGACGAAAACTGCTCAGGCACAGGAATAGATGACAACGGTTCAGGCACAGGAACAGGTGGCACCGGCTCAGGCACAGGAACAGGAGGTACCGGTTCAGGCACAGGCGACAACGGCTCAGGCACAGGTGACCAGTGTTGGGAGTAACGCATTACAAAAGTAATACATTACAGTGACATATTACTTTTTGCTGTAACGCAGTAGTGTAAGGCATTACTAATCAATTTTCAGTAATATTTTACTCGTTACATGTTCAGTGAGGCTTGTATTACAGTTGTATTACAGTGTATTGTCTGCTTTTACTTCTTAAAGGCAACAGACTGTGTGAAAGTTTTAAAGCAGTCTTTTAGTGCCAGTTCAGAGCGGTCGCGTCTGTAACATTGTTTTTTACTCATAAATGCGAACACGAAAACTAAAATAAAATGAATATTTTAAGTTCTATGGAGACTGGAGAGCCAACCCTTTCTTATCCGATTTGCGCAGTGTAATTAACAGAATTACAAAAAATATATTTTGCCTCCTATTTTTTTGTCACGCATAAATGTGTGTCTTTTCCCTAATATTAAAAATAAAACATAGACTGATATTTGTCTAATGTCTGGAGTCCTTTAAAGGAAGTAGTCTATATACGTTTCAATACATGAATTTTCTGAGAATTTTTATTTTCAAGTTTTGACTGCAAATGTCATGTCCATAATGCTGGACTTCCCCAATTTTAAATAATTTATCCTCAACTAGTTTTGTGGTGTAGGTCTACGTATTTTATAATGTTAACTTCAAATAATACTAATAGCCTAATTTAAAGATAAGGTAGCATTGGATATGGACGGTAAGGAGAATAACGATGGAGTTGGAAGAGGTGTGTCGCCATTCTGTAGGTTCGTGGATGTGGCGAATCGCGATTTTGGTTTCATATTGCATATCGTTACAGCCCAAAAGTTAAGTTCTACTTAGTTATTTTGGTGAAAGTAACTCAAAAGTAATACATGAGTAATGTAACGCATTACAATTCTGGGACAGTAATATTGTAAGGTAATTAATTACTTTTAAATAACAGTAACAAGTAATACCTAATGTATTACAGTTTGGAAGTAACTTGCACAACACTGCAGGTGACACCAGCTCAGGCACAGGAACAGACGGCAATGGCTCAGGCACAGGAACAAGCGGCACCGGCTCAGGCACAGACGACACCAGCTCAGGCACAGGAACAGACAGCGTGGCTGCAGCCATCTTGTCCGGAGACCCTGGCTCGGCGGAAGTGACGTGAACAGTCTCTGGCTGGGCAGACGTGATGAGAACAGTCTCTGACTGGGCAAACGTGACGAGAACAGTCTCTGGCTGGGCAGACGTGACGAGAACAGTCACTGTCTGGGCAGACATGTCGAGAACAGTCTCTGAATCGCAAGACGTGACGAGAACAGTCTCTGGCTGGGCAGACGTGACGAGAACAGTCTCTGGATCGGCAGACGTGACGTGAAAAGGGTCTTGCAAGACAGGGCTGATGTGGAGCGCAGGCTCTGCAGGGCTGACGTGGAGCGCAGGTTTTGCATGTCAGAAGACAATGGTAGCTTGAGTTATTTATAGATTTAGTTCATTTGGTTAACAATTGTTAGTTTAGGGTTCTTTTTTTTCATTCAAGGGCAAACAAGGACGAGGCAAAACAACATTTTTGCTCCAATATTTACATTGATAACAATAAGAATTAATAATTGAATATTATTATTATTATTATTATTAAAACTGTTATTAATAATTAATAATAACATTTTTGCAACAAAAAAATAAAATAAAAATAACTTTAACCAAGCAAGGTTTACACCTGTTGATCTACACAGTCTGTTGAGGGATAGATGACTCAACTCAATTTCATTAATTTCTGCTTTAATTTAAGAATTAGACAAAATATCCCCCATGGCTTCCCAGCTTGCTGTTGACTAAAATGTTACATTACAAAGTAACCTGCTTGTGTGTCTGGCTGCACTTGTGTGTGCAACATCAGCAGTCTCAACAAATATTTAGTCAACCACATTATATTGCTGTTATATG